TAACTTTCTCAATAAAAGGAGCTGCAGTCCTCTTTGGGACTTAGGTGAGCCAACTCTGTGAAGCTGTTGGCCTTTCTGCTCCCCCTCGCAGCAAGTAAAACTCACAACATTGTCAGGTGTGGTTCTTTTCAGGTCATTCTATCTGTGGCAGTTAGATGACAATAGAGGTTGCTGAATAATGTATTTTTGGCACCAACACAGACCTAAGATATAAAGCTAAATTTAGATAAAGCATTCTCAAACAGTAAGCTTTGGAGTGAGTTTAATTCTGTTCATAGTATTCTATCTTTTATAAAGGTAAATTTGATTTTTATTTTGCTGTGATGATTCAAGATGAGTATTTCCAGTGTTACATTTAAGTGGATTTATCAAGCAGTTTTCCATGAAAATACGAAACGCTTTTTATTTCCAACTTCCTCTCCGACGCTTTTAATTTGAAAGCGCGCCGGAAGTTACATCAACGTAACTAACTTTAAAAGTTACAGGGAGAGGATGAAAACGTGCTGCGGAAGTAACTTGCTGAAAAGACAGTCCTTAAACCGAAAATGAATCTAACGCAAACCAATTTTTTTAAACTTCTTTGCAGTTTAAAATGTCACCACGCATTACCACCCTCAAGGATGCCACTCAGCATATTGATTCAAAGACTGACAAAACATGCAAATTAGAGGTGAAGTACATTAATTCAGTGAAAGGTAAGGTGTCGTCGAATGTAATTTATTTAGGTTGGCGCTTCCACCTATAGACAACTGTTTTTGTTACTGTTGTATTTTATCTAAAACAAAGTGTGAGTTAATTGTGCTGCATTCTTCCAGATGATAGTAATATAATGAACAGGTTTTCCTGTTTTGTTAATAATGTATGTTGTTGTCTTTTACAGGATGCGGTGTATTTGCAAAGGGTTTAATTTGCAAAGGAGAGTTTGTGGTTGAATATAGAGGACATATGATAAATGATGCAGAATCACAGAAAATGATACAGCGTTACAACTCATCACGTGTTGCATTTATGTTTACATTTAAATGGAAAGGGAAAACATGGTGGTAAGACTAAACACCCTAACAATACTTTGATATTCTATACTATATCAAGAGGTTGTAACTTGATGTGTTGATATATTGTGATGTTTGCATTCTCTTATGTATACAATTTAAGTATTGACGCCTCTAAAGATCATTTGGACGGCTCGTTAACGACGACCACAGACATCCTCACTGTAGGATGAAAAAAATTGAGGTGAATGGAAATCCACACCTTTGTTTGTTTGCCTTGAATGAGATAAGAAAAGGAGAAGAAATTACCTACGACTACGGAGGTGAAGACTACCCATGGAGAACAAAAGTATGTTACACAGAACATAGTATATAGTATACAGAATGGATAAATGGTTTAGAATTTGAATCTATTAGAAATATATTAATTGAATACGTTTAGTAAAAAAATACAATTTGAGGAAGAATTATGGTTGTATAAATAAAATGTGAATTAAATGGTATTAGGATGATTTTATCACTTTATCACAAGCTTCAATACAATACAGAACCTTCTAACAATATAAATGCAAGGCACTCCAGTTGTGATGTGTCGTTCGCGAGTGATTCGTTTAAAATGAACAAATCTTTCATATAACTCGTAACTCCTGAGTCATATGAAAGATTCGTGACTCGTGACTCCCGAGTCATATGAAAGATTTGTTCATATTGAACTCACGAATCACTCACAAATCACTCACTGCAAACAAATCACTCTCTGCTAACTAATCTTTCACTGTGAACTAATCTTTCATTGCAAACGAATCACTCTCTGTGAACTAGTCTTTCGCTTCGTTCTCGCAGATTCGTTTCATTTGTCACGTGACAGAGAGCTCGGGTCTCTTTTGCTATCATTAGTGATGGGAAGACCGACTCTTTTTATTGATTCGAATCTTTGACTCTCGAACAGTAAAATGAACGAGTCGTGAACGAATCTTGAACTAATCATTTCATTCGTTTTACAGCAGGTGGCGCTTTAGCCCTATTGTGGGCGTTGTAAAGAAGGCTGCGGTTCTCCGACACTAAATAAGGCAACATGGTTTGCTTCCGCTGACAAAGTCTACAAAGTACACAAAATGCCATAAGCAATTAAAACCATGCGAAAAGCTAAGAAATAAAAACACACCACAATGTGAAGATGAATGAGAGCAAAAAAGACCCGAGCTCT